CAATAATTGAGAAGATAATTTAGAGACAGGGGTACTTAGGAAACTCAAAGTTTCCATTCACAAGATATATTTTGCTAATACTTTGCACATCTTTTTTAATTTATTGGTGACTTCTATTGAATTAGCTTTTATATGGATTTGGATCTTCTCCCGACCGGAACATGGTTAAGATAATTGATTAAAATGGGCCTCCTCATAATCACTGGAAAGTATCACTCTTGATCTCATACGTGTCTGAGATGAGGAGAGGATCCAACTCCTCCATAATACTGGGAGTGTAAAACTAGTTATACTTGTCTATCATTTCTCACCGTGATTACTGCAACCCTTGTGATGGTTTAAGCTTCGTTTCCTTTTACAGGTTGATGTGTATGGGTGTAGACATTTGACGACTCTGCTGGAGTGGATGGGAATGAATGCATTACCTATTTATCTTCTCGTCTCTTGCAACATAATTCCCATTGTTTTGCAGGGATTCTATTGGCGGCACCCTGAAAATAACATTGTAAGTAAACACATTTACTCCACCTGTACATACATCTAGTACTTCCGTCTCCCCAAAGGAGTAATTTTTTACCAATGTAAATGCATCTTTATACTATCGTATATATTTTGAGATAGTCATTTTCACTTGAATTGATTTTTTTATTTGTGAACTAGTTTGGTCTGGGGTGGTTTGTTAAGGTTGTTTTTACTTGGATTTATTTCAGTCCTAGACAAAACAAACCAGATCAGAGTTAGACAAACTAGACCAGACCAGACTTAAACAGACCAGACCAGACTTAAACAGACCAAGCCAAAATTTGATAGTTATAAAATACAGACTAGACATTTACCAGACTAGACGAGACTAGTTCAGACCAGACTAGACCATATTTAAACAGACCAGATAAGAAAATTTCAGACCAATTAAAAACATCCCAGGTCTAGTATGGTATACTCTTTTTTATGTCATTTGTATTTTAATATCATACTCTTTCCGCTCCATAAACTTCTTCTCACTCACCTTTTTGGGATGTCCCAAAAATTCTTCTCATTTCCCTTTTTGGAATGTTTTGTGGCTAACATTCATTTATTTTTTTCTTACTCAACTACAACCATGCATTTGTACTTCCATTTTCTTAAACTCTGATCCAAGTCAAACCGAGAAGAATTTTATGGGACGGAGGGAGTACGTAGTATAATTTAGAGCATTTGGACTAGAATTTTATAGTTCAAACTGGTATGTGATTTGTTGAATCTAGTTTGACCTATTTAAATGTGGTTTTATCTGGATTAAAAAAAGTCTAAGCATTCAAGTCCTAAGAATGTGCTCATTTAGATTCATTAATCCCTCATCATCATCACCTATAGTGTTGCAAAGGCTCCCACATACGGTGGAGTAAAGGAGTGTCAGATTTACGCAGCCTTACCCATGTACTAAAACAGAAAGAGATTGTTTCCCGACGACTCATAGTGAAAATCACGTTGAAAAGTACATGGACTGATTATTACTTCATAAACAAAGAAACACAGATAAATTAGTGATCATTTTGCTTTATTTCATCATACTCGAAATCCAAAAAATAATAAATCTTTAGCTCAATTGCAAATAATGGAAACGACTTGGACCTGCTCTATCAGAGTATCCGGCCTAAAAAGACGAGACCTAACATGAAAGTTAGAAATGCTACCCTTGTACTTGTGATAGGATGGATATCTTGTTATAAACAACGTTTTGTATTGAGTGCATGCATGTTTGGCGTGCAGCTTTCAATGATAGGTATTGGGCACAAGTAACAATCTACGAACAGAGACAAACCACATGTGGTTATGGCCTATGCTTCTTCTCTACGTGGTAGAAGAACTGAAGAAGCATATGGGGGAAGGAACCAGCACTTGAACGTGAATTTGCTCACAAATTAATACGTACTCTACTCTAGCCCCCTATTATTATTGTTATTATACGGAGTAATATATGCTTAGATACGTCCATATTCCACCGGCATATGGATAGCTCCATGTCCACGTCATTGTAACTTGTAATTTTGCAACAGTATAATAAATAATACCTTAGATTAGGCATTATACGGAGTTTCTTTTTTGGTTTCATGTTCTCATATTAGTCAACCCAGCTTGCGGCTTGTCTTATACTTCGTATATAGGAGTGTTCTGGTGGGTGTGAATTTATTTTAAAATGAAACCAAGTATTATTATTATTATTATATTAAAGAACAAAGAACTTAGTTTTTAAAATTCGAGGGAAAAATATCATTTTTGGGACAGGTTTTTGTTATTCTTGAACTCAAGACTGAACTCACTGAAGTAGGCCCGTAGCCAATTTGTCCGCTTCTCTTCGGAATACTTTTTGGAGCTTTTAAAACATACTACCTCCGTCCCTCTTAATGGTTGTCTACTTTCAATTTGACATGATTATTAGTAAAGTGGTTGAAAAGTAAAAGTTGTGGTTGGGATTTGAGTAGAATAAAGTGAATTGATAAGAACCACATATTTCATGGCAAAAAAAGAAACAAGACATTCATTTTGGGATAACCCAAAAAGGAAAGTAGGACAACCAAAATGAGACGGAGGGAGTAATCCGTAACAAAGAGTGATAATCTAGAAAAGCACTTTGAATATTTTTATTTGAGTCCTCAAACTAGATTTTAATTGATTAGAATTTAGACTAGACTTTTGTTATAAAATATATAGACAACCAGTTTAGATAGACTTAGGGAGTGTTTGCAACTGCTTCTGCTTAAAAAAAGCACTTTTGGAGATGTAAGGAAAAAGTGATTAGTAGTAAAAGTTGATAGTGTTTGAGAAAAAAGTGATTTTGAAAAGTAAAAGTTGGTAGTGTTTGGTAAAATAAGTGCTTTTTGTGTAATAGAAAAGGGAAAAGCACTTTTCACACGCAAGCCAAAAAAAGTAAAAATTAGTAGTGTTTGGTAAAAAAGTGTTTTTTAAAGCTAAAAGCTGAGAAATGCTTTTTTTAAGCAGTTGCAAACACTCCCTTAAAAAGATTAGATCAAAAATTTCAGCTGAAGTCAAAATATCCTAATTATTATCCCCATATGAATCCTATTTTAAAACATTCTAGCTAGCACACCCGTGTTATGGGGCCCAATGCGTAGAACTGAACGGAGTCTTGGGTTTTGTTCAATTGACACTAGAGCAATTCATTTTTTCGTTCTAATTGAATGCTAGTTAGAGTATTTTTATTTGTATCATTTTTAGTCACAAATCAGACAAACTATACTAAACTAGACTTGTAAAATATACAGAGATCAGACATCTATCATATTAGATCAGACCAATCCTGATTAGATCAGAAAATTTCGGTCCAATTAAAAATATCCTTAATAATTACAGTATTGCTTCAAACCACACAATATATTAGTTTTAATGCATTGGGCGCAATTAGGTTCAATTCATTTTTGTCCAAAACTTCTATTCAATTTAGGTGATGGACTTGGAATTAATTATTTCTCATCCCAATTGTTTACAAGTTCAATTTTGATCTCCTTAGGTCCTTAACCATCCAAAAGTGCAAAAAAACAAATCAAATCGTTGAACCAAAATCAGCTTTGTGATAATCAAGATCCAAACAAAATCGTTTAACTTAATTCTGATTTAGGACAGACTGGACCTGTGAATGGGTTAGATCCTTCCGGGTCACATTGGGGTTCCAACCGGCTTTTTTTTTTGAAAGGTTACAACTGGCTTACCCAATAAAGGGTATTGGTTTTATACTTTTATTATTTGTGGTAGCACATTTGTCTGATAAAAGATATTGACACTCTCCTAATAACTTTAAATTAATGTTCACAATTAAAATGAGATATTTAGAACATAGATTAAAAATTCTATTAAACCGTAAAAACGGGACGGATTATGTGCATGACAAGGGCACAATGTACCAAGTGAGAGATAAATGGTAAATGAGAACAATGATTTGGTTTGTTATTACCAAATTATCAATCTTTAGAACTAATAGTAAAAAATTGATAAATTATAAGGGTTAAATGCACTTCTTGTAAAATATAAATTCGACTCAATAGCCCATGTGATCTAAACACTATGTTAACCCTATGTAATGTGCACCGGATAGCCAATAACCACTCATATTGAAATTGTAACCCATTATCAAACATCAATACGAGAGTGCTAATGCTTTAATAAGACGTCTTTTTAGGAAGAAAGTAATTACTACAACAATAACAACATTCAAGCCATAATCCCAAAAGAATTTGGGGTCGGCTAACATGAATCGATCTATGATATGGTATGAGTAAACTAAGCTTGATGAATAAGATGCTCAAAAAATTTCATCAAAATATTCCCCCGGTAACCGCCCCAAATCGCAACGACCGGACAAATTCTCATATAGAAGGACTTAATTGACTTTTTTATGAAAGTTCGAGGACCTATTTGACAGTTTCCCCTTAATATATATATTAAAATGAGATGAACGGCGGATTATCAATGTATGCGTTATATATAGCATTTTGATACATATATTCACTGATTAAATTTCGTTCCAATTAAAAATATCCTTAATAATTACAGTATTGCTTCAAACCTACATGGGCGCAATTAGGTTCAATTCATTTTTGTCCAAAACTTCTATTCAATTTAGGTGATGGGCTTGAATTAATTATTTCTCATCCCAATTGTTTACAAGTTCAATTTTGATCTCCTTAGGTCGTTAACCATCCAAAAGTGCAAAAAAACAAATCAAATCGTTGAACCAAAATCAGCTTTGTGATAATCAAGATCTAAACAAAATCGTTTAACTTAATTCTGATTTAGGACAGACTGGACCTGTGAATGGGTTAGATCCTTCCGGGTTATGGGCTCACACAAATGTTGATAAAATGTGGGGAGTCCGGGTGACTGGTGGAGTAGTGGAAGATATTGGGTTGATTCATGCTAAATTATTTGGGCTTGAAATGTTTGGGCTGAAGTGGTGACGCAAAACTCAACCCACAAATAAAATGGGCTCGTAAACCTTCCATCGTCTCTCACGAGCAAAGCAGAGAGATCAGAGCGCCAGCGAGGAAGCAGACGCAAGTTACTGAGTTCAGAGTTCTGCAACGTCTGAAAATGGCATTAAAGTCGGTATTCGATTTTTCTCAAATTAGAGCTGAATTTGAACAAGCTGGTATCAATACTCGCTTCATCCCAGTTATATGGAAGTACGCATCTATCTATCTCATTCCTCATACCTGTCATCTTCTTCTTTGTACTCTTATTAAAAATCTATGTGATGATCCTACTTCAGGCACGTGATTCAGAACCCTAATTGTCAGTGGGATGAAATTCCATCATTGCCTTCAGGAGCATACGTTCTGCTTCGTTCCAAGTTTGTACCATTAACTTCCACCCTTCACACTGCCGATGAATCAAGCGATGGTGTTACCACCAAGCTCCTCATCAAACTTCAGGTGATTCTTTTCATTTCTCTTTCACATTCGATGAGGTGCCATTAAATAATAAATTCCTACGTTATTGTTGGGAACTTCACTTGTGCTTGCTCTAAATGAGCATTCCATACACTATTTTTGTTTTTATCCTTGCTAGAAAGGAGAATTTACTGAGGCTGTTATCATGAGATATGACTCACGCTTAGGAAAGTATAATGGAGAACCTCGTCATGGCGGACTAAGATCAACCCTGTGCATATCATCTCAGGTTTAGCCATTCTATATCTACTTTTCATTTGTGCTACTTAAGTGCCTTTTTACAAATTTTCTAAGGGTTTGCTTTGATGTTCTGATATAGGGTGATGGAGGACAATGTGTTTGACATTTTATAAACAACCAAAATACAAGCACACTATGTGATCATTTAATATTCGAATCTTCTTTTATATGATTTGACAAAATCTCATTTTTATCCATATATAGAATAAGCTCTCTAAAGTATTTCCTTCCGAACCACGCCAAAACCCTCCATTTAAAGGCGCCCTAACCAATATTTCCCATCTCCCAAGATAACTGGATTCTGACCTTAGTCAATCTGTGCTTTAAGGTTGGATGCAAAATGGGCTGCAAATTTTGTGCAACTGGAAGCATGGGATTTAAAACTAATCTTTCATCCGGAGAGATAGTTGAGCAGTTGGTGCATGCTTCTCGTTTGTCATCCATACGCAATGTTGTTTTCATGGTATTATTATTGCTTATCTTTGTGCTATTTGCTCTGGGATGCTTTGAAAAGCACATTTTTATGATTATTTATATATCAACTTAATTGCTGGATTAGGGAATGGGAGAACCATTAAACAATTACTCTGCCCTTGTAGAGGCTATTCATGTTATGACGGCGTCTCCATTTTATTTATCGCCAAGGAAAATTACGGTCTCAACGGTACGAAGAGCCTCAATTGCTTAAACTATTATATACTCCCATCTTTTGATTGAAACTTATTTGTGCAAAGTTGTTTTGAACTTTGTTTAAACATTCTGTGTAGCCTTTGTTTGTTGGGAAATATGGAAGAGAGAAATGAAGAAGAAAAAAGAAGAGAAATTGCACTTTTCAATATAGCATTTTCAGGATATTCGTGTTAATGTTGTCACTTCCTTATTCTCTCGTACCAAACACTATACAAAGTTTACCATTTCTCTCTCTTCTTCAGCTCTTTCTCACACTTCTCTCTTCTTCCCTAAACCAAACAAAGGCTTAGCTGAGATGCGACTTAGCGATAATACAATAAAAGTTACTTTGATGTTATACTAGGTTGGAATCATTCATGCCATTAACAAGCTTCATATGGATCTCCCAAATATAAACCTGGCGGTATCCCTTCATGCACCAGTTCAGGACATCCGTTGTCAGATAATGCCTGCTGCTAGAGCCTTTCCTTTGGACAGACTGATGGATGCATTGCATGCCTATCAAAAGAAAAGGTTTTTTATTTATCAATCCTCCATTTTTGTCTCCATCATAACCTTCTCTAACTAAGAATTTTCTCTCAACTTCTGTCTAACTTAATATTTATTTCTAGCCAGCAAAGGATCTTTATTGAATACATTATGCTCGATGGAGTGAATGATGACGAACAACTTGCCCACCAGCTCGGTAAATTGCTAGAAGCATTTCAAGTGGTAAGTTTCAAATGTAGTAATTAAACCATTCCTTTTAGGGATAGATGTTGAGCATGCAAAGGCCAAAGAGTAAACCTTTATGTATTAAGTGTGGGTCAAACAGTTAATTCTATGAATATTTCTTAGAAGATTAAAAAAGTAATAGTAGTAACACCTATGGCAATGCTCAAATCATACTTCATTGAATTATCTAGTCAAGTGCTAACAATAGGGTCAATGGGTCATTGGTGTAGATTCATAATGTGTGCTGATTCGAATGCATGTAACACTTTGGTAGGTTGTGAACCTGATACCATTTAATCCAATCGGTTCCCTGAGTGACTTTAGAACAAGTAATGATCAGAAAGTGACCAGATTTCAAAAAACACTGAGGGATATCTACGGAATTCGGACGACAATCCGCAAGCAAATGGGACAAGACATAAGTGGTGCTTGTGGTCAGTTAGTAGTGAATTTGCCAAAAAGGCAGTCGTTGGGGACCTGCTCAGATGTTTTAACTGATATTGAAGATCTTCACATCTAAAAGAAAAGCGGTTACAGGTTAGCCCCGCTGTTTCCTGATGTTTGAGGATTTGAAGATTTTTGGCTGTTTTGAATTATGCTGATTTGATGTATGATATGTCTACGTTTCTGCTGCAGTCTTCAATGCTCTGGCAAATGGATAGTTTTTTTCATTCCCCTTTCGTAGGAAGAGCTCTGAAGTTCCTCTCATCTTTTGCAATAGTGGACTGGGAGCATAGTTGTTGTTGTTCTACACTTAATTTAATGTTTCAGTCCCCTTGGTATTGTAATATATTGTAGGCTGATAAGGCTGTATCTATCTATTTATCTAATTATATATATTCATTTATCTTATGTAGTGGAACTGTGGAAGTCGTATAAATATGTTATGCATCCTTTACCTTCTCATGTTCAAAATTGACGTCGAATCTGTTGATGGAAGCCATTGAATGAAGCGCTCTTTATTTGGTTTAAAAGGAATCATGGTATAACCTTAATGAGCTTGTTTTGCTTGGAATTTGGAGGGGAGGGGATTTGCTTTGCCTTTATCATATTACCTTGTTTTTAAAAAATAACAACACCATTATTTGACTGCCAAGACCCTTTACTGTGTATTGTGCCAACAATATTTTTCTATTTCCTGCAGAAAATGTACATAGGAAACGAAACAAACTGTTCTTTGACTTTGTTTTGCTAAAAAGAAATAAAACCATAGTGAATCAAGATTATACAGAGCTCTTATCATTCAGTGGTGGGAGGCAGTTTGGGGGAGATATTTCAGGTGAGTCAGGCTGGAGCCCTTGTACTGGTTTGAATCTGGAACACCATTTGATGAGGAGATCTTTAATTTCAGCATCCATTCTGGTCCCTATACCTCCCCAAACTAGCATGTGCCCCACATCTCCCAGTGACTCACCCTTCACTTCTTGCACCACTTTGAACCCTATTCTTTTGTAGAATCTGACCAGCTACACAAGTACACAACCAAAACGAAATTTATGAAGAATCACATTGACACCCAATCAGCAATGGAGATTACACGTTTAAAATTTCCCGTTTGGTAAAGACGAAATTGGCTGTTTTTGATATTATGGCTAAAGTTGTTGAATCACTATCATTATCATCTACTTGTATTACACAATAAAAATAAATAGCATAACCTAATGTAAAATTCAAAATATGATTTTATGTAGTTTTTACCAACAGTTAATCCAACATATTGATGCTATGTGTCGGCATGCATGAAAATGTTTCATTTACATAAGAAATAAATTTCTTTTTCTAAACGACTCAACTTGACCATGTTTGATGTCACATGACATAACTTATAAAAATGGCTTGATTTAAAGTTTTTCCATATGAAAAATATAATACTATCATATATGTTATTAATAAAATGATTTTTGTAAATCATTCTAAACCTATTATAATATAGGCTCAAAATAATGTCAACATTGATCGATATGAGACTCATACATGTGACCTTTTTTGGTAGATTGATACTATTAAGGATGTTTTACTTGGACCGGAAAAATGGTCTAGTCTGATCTGAATTGGATTGGTCTGGTCTGGTATGGTCTTGTATGGTCTGATCTAGTCTGGTTTGGAAAGAGTCGAGCTAAAAGCACCTAAAACCACAAAACAAAATACTAGACAACAAGATGAATTTTAAGACACAAGTAAAGAAGTGGAATGGAGTAATACTCATAAAATAATCTTGTGTTATAAGCAGAGCATCCTAAAACCACAAAACAAAATACTAGACAACAAGTGGAATTTTAAGACACTAGTAAAGAAGTGAAATGGAGTAATACTCATACAATAATCTTGTGTTATAAGCAGATCACCATGACATCAGAAAGCACAATACCTTGGAGTGGTAAAGAGGAGTGTCATTAATGGCGAGCAACTCAGCTTTGGTACATCCACAGTCATATCCATGCCTGATTGCCACTGCTCCAATAAAAACTCCTATCCCAAATAAAGACTTCTCCATCCCAACTGTCTCCTTCCTCAGCTTAATGGAGTCCAGATGCAGAATTTTGCCCCCAAACCATACCCTCGTTATCCCTTGAGCCACCCCAATCTCATTCTTGGTTTTCAGGTTTCTGGCTGTTACCCTGAAAAAGGGTCCCACTGTGGTGAGCTGGAGGTCAATATTCTGAGCTCTTGATGTCTCCATGATCTCTGGTATGGTTGGGATGGCAGAACTGATGATGGGTCTTGGTGGGGAGGGTTTGGGTCTGGGAAAACATATCCATGAACCGTTAGATTTCTTGAAGAGTGAATCTGGACCGATGGTTTTCCATCCGGATGGTAAACCCAGAGATTTATGGCTTTTGGTGTTCATAACTACTCCAATTAGACTTGCTTCCATTTCTGGTTTCACTAATTGCAGCAGCCTATCCTTTTCCTCCTTCCTTCCTATGTGTTGGCTGTACTGCAGCCATATGCTGCCTGTTTTTTTTCCTATTACTCCTATTTTTTTGTTTAATGTAAGAAATAGTTTGTATTTATGACAAAAATAAAGATTGTACTTAATGAAAGTTAGTGATTAAACTTTATAATTTTCAGAACCCTAGAATGTTAAGAAAATCCCAATTCCAATAACAAAATTAACAAGAAGGTCTGGGAGCAATATACACGAAAAGAGAAGAAGCTATTGCCCATTTAAAACTTGGAACCCAATCCCATTACAAAAATCCTCTTTGTATCCATTTTCGTTAAGAAGAAAGCATTTTTCTCCCAAATGCCTGTGCACACAGGCAAATATACAAAAGTGTGTACAATAGTGGGTATAAGAGGGACTCATTCCATTAATACGAAGTGATATATACTTGTCTTAATACTCAGAAGGATTAAAGGAGCTATGTAAATACTTGTAGAGACAATCTATGAAGATTAATTAATACCTAAAATCAGTTTGCTAATGAAGAAAAACAAACTCTATGTGGTTTGAGATGGAATCCAAAAAAACTTAATAAGGATGTTTTTTTTTTGGACTCAAATTTACTGGTTTGGCAAGATCTGATCTAGTCTATTTAAATGTGGTATGGTTTGGTTTGGTCTGAATTGATTTGATCTTTGTCTATTTTATAAATGTCTAAGTATAGCCTGGTCTAATTTGAGTGTATTTTATTTAAGTGTAGTCGGGTCTGGGATTTAAAACAATTCAAAAGGAACATCCTAATGTTTTGGATTGTTTTCAATCCCGGACCAGACCAGACCGGACTTTAACAAATCAGACTAGATGTAGTATGGAAGAGGAAAAGAATTTTGAGAAGTGCAGCTACCATGGCTGGAAAAGGAAAAATGCAAGTGGAACTTGTGGTTGAGATGTCGTGCGTATATCTATACAACATTGCAGGGCTTTTAAGCAAAATACTGATTTGGGTTAAGATAACTGATTTGGGTCTGTGAATCTTCTAAAAAATGCTTCTGGCCAGACTGAATTATTATATTCTCCTTTTCAATATTTGGTTTTAATATAATAGAAAGTCAGAATTATTCTTGACCAATTCCCACGGGCAAAAAATACATACAAAAATCAATCTAAATACTTCAATTAATCATAAATTACTTAAAAATGTAAACTTTGACACTAATTTCTACCATTTACAAAATGAAAAATGTTTTAATTTGCCCCTGGTTTAACAACTATACTACTAAAGTACTAAGTGTAAATATATGAACAAACCAGACTTATCAAATACGGAGCATGTTACAAAAGTGATAGCATTGGTAATAAACAAAATGTTCAACAAATCCTCTGGTTTAATGCTCATTAAGTATTCATCAATATTTATTTCAAATGTGAATATATTAGACTTGTTTCATTTAAGCTCAAATCAATTATTACTAACATGTTTAGTACAACAACAATAACATCCAAATCTTAGTTCCAATTTCCAAAAAGATTCGGGGGTCGGCAAGGCACAGGTAGGGGTGGACTCGGGCCGGGCCAACCGGCCCGGAACCGGACCGGCCCGCTACTGTGCGGGCCCGGACCGGCCCGGTCAACCGGTTGGTGCACCGGTTCGGGCCACCCGGCCCGGTGGGATGGCGGTCCGGGCTCGGGCCCTGATTTTGGTGAACCGGCCCGGCCGGTTCGGGCCTGGTCCGGGCCGGTTTTTTTTTTTTTTTTTTTTTTTTTTTTTGAAATTTTTTTAAGTTTTGGGTTGGATTAGGTATTTTGAGCCATTTGAGGTGGTTTGGGGTTGAGGGGGAGGGGTAGGGGGTTAAAAAGGAGAACAAAAAAAATAGACCGGTTGGCCCGGCTCGGCCCGGCCCGGTTTGGCCCGTAACCGGAACCGGAACCGGAACCGCCCACCGGCGGTTCGGGCCCGGGCCCTAGTTTTCTGGCCCGAGGCCCGGCTGGGCCCAGGCCCGAACCGGCCCGAGTCCACCCATAGGCACAGGCAGTGAGGGCGATCGATCATTTTCTCAAATATTAAGCTTTGATGCTCCCTAGTCCCTATTATTCAACTGTTTTGAGTGAGTTGGTCCAGATTAGTAAACAAGCAATCTCAAACTCCCATAATCCTTCGTAAACCATCCAGATTCCAGATTAGAACTCAACTCATTTGTTCATATAAATGGACTCAATTCTGAAGCCTCATTGAATCTGTGCGAGAAAATACAAAACCGGACACCCTTTTAGTTTCTGGACCAGAACTAGCACCTATCTACATTCTAAAAGCTACATTCAGAAGTGGGACAGCGGGATCAGATCAGACCCCCCCCCCCCACCCCCACCCCAACCCAACTAAGGTTCGGATGCCCCCTTCACCTTAGATAAAACCAACTGGGCCCACTCCCAGTCATTCGGTTACAAAAAGTCCTATTCCGGGTGAGCAAATTTGGCTATAAAAACAATACATTGTGAAGAAAAAACCTATTATCATTAGGATATGTAAATCCAATGTACACAAATATGACAAATATATGAGAATCTATTATTTTAAATGTACTTCGCATGTACACTGTTGTAACTGCATACACAGTAAGAAGTAATAACATTTAGCTGATCGAAAATTGTTATACTGTACAAGAAAGGGTAAAACACAAACAGACAGATACATATAAACACAAATCAATCTACGTTAGGAGTTCTGATTTGTCTTCTCAAAAAAAGAATCAATAGGAATACATTTAACTGACGTAGGAGATATTTTCTTCTTCTTTCTCTGCGCACCATGATTCTTTGTATCCCCATTCTGTAATGACCTAAATTAAAGTAAACTTTGTGATTTTTGGGAGTATGATCTCTGCTTCAAGGTGAAAACAAAAGATAGGAAACTAATAGGTACCTTCGCTGAGGTGTCAACAATTTATAATTGTCATTAGATTGCTCATCTTGCAATCTTTGAGCAAGATGAAAGTCGGAGTGCTCTTGCCTTTCTTCGACGAAACTGGGAGGCAATTCAACCCCGCATAGTGAGCATTTATATCCGTCCAACCAAACAAGTATCAACTCTTTAAGATGGTCTGAGCAGTGCTCCGTTCCATCATATGTGTGGTTGGTGCCCTCCAACTCTCTAGAAAAGGTTAACTTTTTCAATGACCCTGAAGATGAGTTGCTAGCATCAATTGCTTCATACACCTGAAAAATATAACTTTTATCAAGTGAATGGAAATTAAAAAAAAAAATCTACTCCCGCACATTCAGTTTTACTTTGGTCTTTTGGATGAAAACTTTTATCATACAATGTTCTTATAAAAACAAGACATTATTTAATGCCATTTTTCATTTTTGCGTTTCTCAGTCCATCCCAAAATTCTATCACTCCGTTTAATGACTCCTTAATGAGGGGATTGAGGGGTAATATTGCCGAGTTTTTCTAGATTTAATGGCTCATTAATCTGCGAAATTTCTTTCAAAGTAACAATTACTCTGAGAGAGGGAGTATTCAATCTACTAATCAGGGTGAGTAATGCAGGCTAAAATGCGTACATTGACTTCAACACCATCATGCTGAGGCTCAAGGCTTTTCTGCCTTGATTTGCTATAATTGTCGCGAATAGGGGATTTAAAATCCCAAGATATTTCACTGCTTTTTGTAGGAGAGTCACAGCATATGTCGTATGTGAAGGCAGTATCACTAGTATTAGAACTCAAAGGCATGTGCGCCTCTCTTCTAGCAGCTTCTTGAACAACAAAGTTGGAGAGCGTTCTTTGTGTGGGATCAGAAAGGTTGACATTCTCTTCCATAAACTGAGAAATACGGAGTCCTTTATTGAAAATCAAATATTGAAATGGTTGATCAAACTCCTTGGAACAATTCAAAGAAATAGTGGAATAATATAAATGGCGAAAGAACACAAATGATAAGGAGAACTAATCAAGTGTTCTGTGAAATGCAACAGACTAAATGATAGGTCACAAACATGTTATGACAATTATTGAGCCTCGTAGTTCCAACTTAAAAATTCAACATGATATGAGGAGTATTTCAAACTTTATAGGATGATTTGTTCATTTATATTCGATCAAAATGAGATGACTTAAGATGACACCATTTTGTTGGAGAGTCTGAGTGCTGGTTTTTAAGCTTATTTGAATCATCTCTTTGAAACCCTGTTGAGACTTATGATTCTGTCCTAAAAGGTTAACATAAGACGTTACACGTTCCCTCTTATTTTATATTTATTCGAGGTGGAATAATTAAAAAAAAATATGCATAGGAGAAAGCCAGCCAGCCTACCCATAAGTCGTAAGGGTACAGGTAGCTCGGCTTTCAGCAGCTTTGAAGCATGTGTTAATATATCCTCACTTGAGCTTATGTACTTTGTCAAAGTCACAGCCCTAGTCCGCACCTGAGAATTACCATTATAATCAAACAAATTATGAACTTGGAGTATTTTGTATGAAGCCATATTCTTCTTTCTTCTGGTAAATCATCAATCACAAATTGATTATATAACCACTACGTCTCTATTATGAAATACTCTAAAGATACCTCAAAAGATGCAGTTTTCAGCTTCAGTGTCAATGTCCGCCCACAAAGGCCTTCTTGTTCCATATCTGCTGAAAGCATCTCTGCAATATCGGCTACAAAACAAAAAAAAACAAAATTGCATAAACAACAAATAAATACATTTGTATTCGATATCTTCTACCATGAGTTTAGAGACAGGCACTTATATTTAGATATGAAATATACGCGCACCTAACTTTTTATAAAGAAATGTCTCATCCCCGGTAGCTGAAAATGTCCTCTCATTACTCATACTCTTCCGCATCTTTGTTTGAGGTGTATCGGTCTCACCAAGTCCTAGACCGACCGACAAGAAGAAGTCTACAATGCATACGAAAATATTTTAGTACGAGCATCATAATGTCAAGTTTCAAATAGAAAAAGAGCCTCATAAACTTGACTTGAAATATGAAAGGCCAAGATGACAGATTTAGATCCATATACTGGGTTCTACCCTATTCATGTTAGCTAGCTCCAAAATCTTTTGAGACTAAGGCTGGGATGTTGTTGTATACTGGTTCTGTCATTGAATAAGAATGTTTTTACTTGGATTGAAATTTTCTGGTCTGATATGGTCTGAACTAGTCTGGTAAATGTTTGGTCTTTGTGTATTTTACAACTATCGAAGTCTGGTCTGATAAGATCTGGTGTGATCTGGTCTGAACTGGTCTGGTCTAGTCTGGGATTAAAAGAAGTCCAAGTGAAAACATCCTAACTATTGCAGATGGTAAATTTACAAATGAATTCGCTTTAAATGGAAATGACCTGCTGAAGAACGAGAAAATAGTGCACATAGAAGATTGCCTTTCTGCAACAAACCTTCACATGTTGTTATTCCAAAAACTTCCTTTAAGATGTTTTCAGTAACTTTACCAATGCCACCAATCTGTAAAAGGTTTTTCAAGCCAGAGAATAAGTGATTTAACAGAAAATATAGGTTTCTCCAAAAACTTAACAGCCAAATCAACCTGCTATAAGTATAAACTATACAACAGTACCTTCCTAATAGGAAGTGTGGAGATAAATGTCATAATAGCATAACGATCATTAGGCAAAACAAATTGTCCGTTAGGTTTGTTGATATCCGAAGAAACCTGGCAACAAAAAGACATTAAGCTGTAAGACAAATTGATGTACTTAAGTGTTGATGGTCGACAAAGGAAATGCCCTGTGGGTCCATTGCTGCCCCCCCCCCCCCCCCCCCCGCCCCAAAGAAAGATAACACCTTAGCAAGTAAGCGATTTGGAGCTACACCCGCACTACAAGTGAGGCCGGTCTCATTGTAAACACTTTTCCTGAGCTCTTCAGCCACCTAATAATACAAGTACCACAACCACATCAAAGATCTGCAATGAAACTCAGTCTCACATAATACAAAAAACATATTAACTGGAGTTAAGGTGAGGTTCGAGATTTAAATAGGAAGTTACGTGGACTTAAAACATAGTAGAGTTTGTTTTAAACCTACCTCTTCACATGTAATTCCCCTATCTCTGCAAATCTTTGTTATATCCAGGTATGCCTCATCCAGACTTGTTGCCAAGAAGTTAGGATCATATTTCTGGAAGACTATGAGATGAATTTCATAAATTACAAAACATACGCAAATCAAAATTAGACATGAAAATGGGGTCTTGTACACAAAAAGCAACTGACTCTGTCTTGTCAATCCACTGTAATGATTGTACTTTTTGAAGTCCGTAGGTACAAATATCAACCCTGGACATAATTTACGAGCAATAAAGCCAGGCATTGCAGCCCGAACCCCAAACTTGCGAGCCTGCCACAGTAATAACTAGCAAATCAAAATCTCGAAAGTTTATAAGCAATAATATTGGTTAAAACTTTAAATAATCCAATAGTCTTCCACTCATGCAAAAGGTTGAAATTAGAGCCAGTTCCAACTTCCAAAGTAAGGATGAATATGCTAAAGTTTCTCAGAGTAAAAGTATGGTCAAACCCATTCAGCCAAATAAGTAGGTCAAAAACTAATTATGCTGCTTAGTGCTTACTTTGGTAACTTCGCAAATAAGAAGAATATGCTACATTTGACTTCTTGAGTACAAAACGTGAGCTTACTCTCTCTCTCTTCTACGGAGTATTATATTTGTCAATTCAGTTCTCGCACTACTAAATATGAGCAATTATTTATTTAACAAAAGTAAAATGACTAACATATGTCTATGTGACTATGTGTAAGAAGCTTCCTTATGTGTGATGATATATTAAGTACTTAATGCTAGATTACTAGTAATATAATAGGTCGAATATAACAATGTATGGGGTTTTAATACTAGATTACTAGTAATATAATAGGTCGAATATAACAATGTATGGGGTTTTGATGTGCATCTCAAACCTCATAATTAGCAGTAGAGATCATTGACAAGCTGCCAACAGCCACTGGCTTTCCTTCTAATGAAGGATCACTCAATGTTTCAACAGCTGCATAAAAAGCATCCATATCTACATGTATCCAAATCCTTGACAAATCACGTGTGGCTTCAAGCTCTAATATCCTTTTCTCAGCAAGCTGTAAACTCCATAAATCATATCTAACGAATAGATTAATGACTTCAAAGTAAAAACCTTTGAGAATTAATATACCTTCTCGTAGTGAGATATATCAGCCTTAGTGAGTTTCAAACACTGGGATCGCATGCTTTCGATTCTCTGCTTCATATAAGCCTCCTTGCGCTCCTCGTTCTGGTAATACTTGGATCCTTTGCTCATTTCATACACTATTCTCTGCACTTTTTCCTTGTCCACCCCTTCCATGCCTACAATTCCAGCCCCACATATGTTTGTAAAAATAGAAGAAAACCCCGTAAAAGAGCTAGAATTGTCAATTCAACAACCTCAAATAAAAAATAAATAAAAGATATACAAATTCAGTACGACAATTTAAAATTAAGGAACAATACCAGCTTTTGCATTGGTATAAACAGTGTGGTAAGATTGCCAAGGCCGAGAGGAAGAGGCAGACGGATCTTCGCCGGAGACCGTGAATTCAGTTTTTGTCATTATGGGGACTTTCAGTCGGGTATCTACTGTTTGGTCAGCACTCTGCAGAGAATCACTCGACAAATAAAAATATAGAGGGAAATGGGAAATGCAGAAATACTATGTTTAAAAAACAGTCCTGGGCATGCCAGGTCAGGTCAACCTGGATACCAGCGACCCGGATTAGCTGGGTCAACCTGGAAACTGGCGAGCCGGATCAGTTTGAAAAAATTCGGCTTCAGAGATTTTTTCATTTTTTTTGTTTTTAAGCCTTTTTAATCAATAAAATTGCAACTTCAATACCCTAAATGGAAAAATATGTATAGAGAAAACTATCATAAATATGACCAAAACGTGTATTTCAGATTGTTTTCCAACATATTTATGTTTAAGATCAAATCCCGTGTGAATATTATTTACTGTTTGCATTTCATACTTCGTATGAAAATATTAGACAATTTTATAACATTCATGTTATATACTACTATATGTTTAACTTTTATGACAAAGAGGATGAGAGGAGAAGACAAACCTTTTACTAAAATACTTGGTCAGATCGAGATGGTAACTAATTTTTTCTTCAATTCCGTCGTTCAAGTCCACCGAAATTAGTAGAGATTTAAAATCTCCATGGGATAAGCTAAGTTAGGGATGGGTGATGTGTGGAGAAAGAGAGAAGATGGGAAAAGGATGGTGGGTGGGAGATGAGTACGTGGACGCGTGATAAGAGGGGAGGGGGAAAAAAAAAGTGGGTGGAGAAAAGAAAAGAAATGGGAAGATGAGGTGTGATGGAATGCCTATCTGTTGAGTGTTGACGACTTGACGACTATTAGTGGGTGGACCAAAACTCTTTCCCAATCTATGACCTTATTAGTTTTTTCCCAAAACAAAACAAATACCTATCTGTTGAGTGTTGACGACTTGACGTTTAAAGAAAACTTTTAATAAATCTATCTATATCTATCTATATCTAATAAATCCATTTCAGTGTCCCGCCTAAACTAGTAAGCTGAGACTCAGGGTCGTTTGTGTCAATTTACCTTCTTTAGAGAACTCGATCTTCTTCCCCTTTGCCAAAATAACTGGATCTTATGTGCAACAGCCGTTGTTCCATTCCTATCTTTAACCCTTCCTCATAAAATTTTGATGCTTCCTCAACGCATAAGAGAACAAAAGCTCTCTCTATTGTTAAAGCAGACCAAATCTCTCTCAAATCCTCTGCACGAGTCACGCACTATAATTATACAAGTCTATGTTTACAACTCAAAGGCACCCAGTAATTGTTGACTGCTTGGTTAGTATGCTGATCTAAGTCCATTTCTTTTATTAAAAATATTGTACTATGGTTCTTCAATGACTATCTAGGTTTAATATTTCCCCGTTCCAATTTGTAGTATATATTGCTTCGTCTTTGTATGTTTATATTTTTTTTTACTCGAATTTCTTACAAGAAACCTAAAAAGGTGATATCTTTGGGTTGCACGAAATTTTCTCAACAGGTGATATCTTTATTTATAAAAAAATTAAATTCATATTTGTGAAATGATTCAGAACATAAAATATCATTTCCGAGCTCCATGTAGCCATAGAACAGTGATATATGAAATGATACATTGCAATTTTCCTCTCTTCTTGGTCTAAGATTTTAGAAAATAGTGATGACAGAGTATTATGGGCTGTTTTACATTCGTACCTACTCCATATATTTAACCACATAAATGACAATGACAGATCTTTGTTCCATATTTGACTTTACCAATAAAATATAAATATTCATTCCTTTTAATTAGCAAAAAAGTTTTATGAAGATAAGTCTCTCTTTTTCTACATTTTGTTAAAGAAATTGTAAACTCTAACTTTCATAATGCAATAAAGGTGATTATGATCTGAGGGATTAAGTAAAATGACCAAAAAGAAAAATATATTAAGTGATTATTGTTGATATCCAACCAGAGACGTAGCCAGGATGAAAATTTAAGAGGGTGAGGGGATTCTAAGCAAAAACTGTACTCCGTATTTAAAAATTCAAATGAACAAAATCCATTTTTTCATTTCATTTCATTTCTTTAAGGGCCAGTGACTTATTTTTTCCTGTTTTCGCGGTTCTGCTCATTTTCAACCACATTAAAAATAAATTTCTCTTAAACCGACGAAATATTTGGAGTATCAATCAAGTCAATCAACTTGTCATTTTTCTGTACTTGTATTAAGCTTAAAAAACTAATGCAATATTGCAATGTTAGTTTTACATTTTTAGAAGTAGATTATGTAGCCATACCTACCAGTGGCGGAGCCAGAAATCTATGGTTAAGGGGGCCGATCCTTAAAGGTTTTACGTTGCAGGGGCCAAAGTTTAAAATATCAACATATTTTCAATAAATTAAAAGTATTTCTACATAATATATGCTTAAGAATTTTTTTCTTGCAGGGGCCGAGGCCCCCTCCAGCCCCTCCCTGTCTCCACCCTGATACCTACTTAAATTGATGAAAATTAAAGAAATATTCAACATATTATTTTCAATCACATAATTCATATTAATACACATTATACAATAGTATGTTAAGAATTTTAGTACTAGTAATTAACCATCCCTAATTTCAAATTTCAAAATGAAATCACACCGTTAATAACTTAATAAAAAACCACAATGAATTCACACTTTACAAATTCGTACTACTATATTAGTAAGACAATGAAATTCAAAATATTAGATGGATTTGATGAACATATTACAAAATAAAAAGATTAAGTAGTTCAATCAAACAAAAAAAATGCAAAAAAAAACTTACCTAGGGGTTCGGGCAGTGATGGTCGCCGTTCAGCGTCCTGGGCGGCTGGGTGGGCAGGCAGTGGGCAGCTTCATGCGGCAGTCGGCGGTGGCGGTGGGCGGTGGGCTGGGCGACTCGCGGAGAGGCGGAGCAGTGAGCTGAGCATCCAATGGACGCGGGGCAGAGAGGCGCGAAACAGAGTTGCCAAGATCTTATTATCTCTATTATCTCTTGTCTGTACGTTGATATTGATTTATGTTTTATATTTTGAATTTTTTAAATCCTTTAGATTATTTTAGGAGTTTTTTCCCCAAATAATGCTAATTAAATAAATGATTCCCAAAATATTGCTAAGTTAAAAATAATTCCCAAAATAGTGTCGGGTTAACCGTGGTTAAGAAAAGCCGCCACTTGAAGTGACGGCTCTTCTCTTACAGCACATTTTGTACATATATAAAACGCAGTATGTTTCAACAATTTTTTTAACTATCTTCCCAATTGAATATTGAGCTGAAATTTGGTATGAATAAACTAGACTTGATGGGGAACATGCTCAAAAAAATTCATCAAAAAAATTCAGCGGGAAAACCCTCTGATGGTGTTGTCCGCACAGGGGTTCCGGTCAGGACATTTTTATGAAATTTGAGTTGCTTCCGAGTTGAATTTTTTGATGATATTTGGTGATCATGTTCTTCCTAAAGTGTATGTTATGTTCACCGAATTTCAAATTAAAATTAAATCAAGAAGTTAGTTAAATTATTTATTGAAAAAACTGCATTTTTAGGCCTAAAAGATTGTGCAATTTTCAAAAACTTATTTAACTAACTTCCCGATTGAAAGGAACCAACTGCAAATTTGAGCCATCACTGTCATCATTATGCCCTTACAAACAATTCTTTCTCTTCCACTTACGAAATTAATATGAACTCTCTTTGGGCAGTTTATGACCATTGGAAATAGTTTCAACACTCATATCAACTTTAGCAACCGGTATTATTGCTCTAAGTTCCAATTGCATGATCACAGTTTCGCCCGATTCACTTGAGCTCGTGTCTGAAAGACAATGGTAAATTCAAATTATGTAATCTAGAGAACCATGTGTAATCCTACAACATACAAACTATTGATAGGAATGTTCAAACTAATGTAAAAATGGAATTGCATATCATATACTCCCTCTGTATTGTAAAGATCACTACATTAGGCTTTGGCACAATATTTAAGGAGGAAATAGTAGGGGTAATGAATAGTGTAGAAAAAGTAAGAGAGAAGGTGAAAAAGTAGGAAAGAGAAGATAAAAAGTAGAAAAATTAAGGGGTAGTTGAGTATTTTTTGAAGGAAAAAACTTACCAAAAAGGGAAAATGTAGCAAACTTTAGAATACGGAGGGAGTATAACACATGCAGCTACAACATGATGACTTATGGATAAATTATAAACAAATATGAAACAATAAGAAATTATAAAACATTGCTTCCGGGAAATAATATACCAAACGATCTAGTTGCATAATTTCTAAAATTTTCGTGGCAAAAAATTTGTCATGTGCCTTTTGAAAATGTTCATGTAAGGTAGGCCTAAAAGTTGCAATTTTAGGCTTATTTCATTTGAGCTATTTCCAGGTCGAATTTTTTTGATGAAATTTGGTGAGCATGTTCCTATGAAATGTAGATTGTGTCCACCAAATTTTAGATTAAAATTCAATCGGGAAGTTAGTTAAATAAAAATTTTAAAAACGTACAATTTTTTAGGTCTAAAAATGCATTTTTTTCAATAAATTATTTAAGTAACTTCTTGATTTAATTTTAATCTGAAATTCGGTGAGCATAACCTACACTTTAGGCAGAACACGTCCTTAACCATGGTTAACCCGACAGTATTTTGGGAATTATTTTTAATCCAACAATATTTTGGGAATTATTTATTTAATTAGCATTATTTGGGGAAAAAACTCTTATTTTAAATCCTATGTTTGTGAATGAGTTTCGCATACAATATTTTGTTTTTGCAAAATTTGCACAAACAAAGTAACACATATTTTATCTGTGAACCGGACTCACAGATAAAAAAAACTTTACAAACATGGGTTGGGTATAAAATGGTTATAGAGTGGGTACATCAATCATTGTTATGCTCTAGGCATTGAACCAACTTTTTGGTTTATGCCACATTTATGATTTATACACAATATAGCCCCCCTTATCATCACTATATCCCGACATCTCATTTCATGATCTCAAACCACGCCTAAATTAGTAAAGTAGCAAAATGAACCTCGTTGTTCCTCTCGTCATAGAAATTAGTGAAGTCAAACCCGGTCAGAAGAGAGAGTAGCGACTCATAGTCTAAGGGGATCATCAATCGCAGCAAATTCGATCAGAAGATTATTTTTAAAATATAAATATTTATTTGTTTGTCTACCTTAACCCCTTTTTTTATTTTCGCCATATTTGATTCTCTTAACAAGGTATTTAGATTCAACTCTATTCTTCTCAAAACTACTTTTGATGACTTTGGAGATGATGATTCACCCTATTGATAAGGAAGTAAGGAGAGCTAATATGGTGACCAAGCTTGATATAGCCACAGTTTTTGACAAAATTTCATGGACTTTTGTTATGGCTGTTCTAAGGAAATTTGGTTTTGTTAAGCATTTTATATTATTTTTATCATTATGAATTTCCTTCAGGCAACATATCTTTCAGTTCTTGTTGATGGTATTACTCTGCCAGTTCAGCAAAAATCACAGATTTTATCTTTCTCATGCTCATAACTCCTTTAGTAAACCATTTGAATTAATGTATTGGGATGTCTGGGCATGTCTCCTTTATGTTCAATCAATGACAATCGTTAGTTATTTTGTTTTATTTATTGATGATTTCAATAAATTCGTTTGGATCTATTTTTATCCCACAAATCACAAGTTCTATTCATTGTCAACAAAATTCACACCATGATGAAAACACAATTTGATTCTGAAAATAAAAATCTTCAAACCGATTGGGGAGAGGAATTTCAAAATATTTCCACATATCTTGAACTTTGTGGCATCAAACGTCGAATTTCCTGCTCTTACACCCATGAACAAAATGGTGCCCTCTATTGAGGTTTATTCCTCCGACTCCAAAGACCAAACACCTTCCCTTGGAATTCGATGGATGTTTTAGTCAATTGGATAGTGGTGATGGCAGAAAGTAAATAGCAATAAAAGGAGAGACAGTAAGTGGGTTGAGTTCTTATTAAACAATAAAAAACAATTACAACACACCCTACTGGAATTCGAGCCGAGAGTCTACACCTGTTGCTCATTCAGAACCCGACCCAGCTGGTGTTCTTGATCTTGCATCATCTTTATCCCTCCACCACCACCACACTCCCCCCGTCTCCCACATTGTGTTGTATTCTTTCCCTTCCAGCTTCTTCCCCGTCTTCATGTCCTTCTTATCAACGTTATACCATTAGCTCTCGTGCCAAACAGTCTCTCCCGACATAACATGATTGACCCATCTTGGTATTTCCACGCCTA